CCCGCGGCGGGCGGGAGACCGGGCGGGAGACGGGGACAAGGACCACCTGGAGCTGCGCCAGTCAGTGTCACTTCTCTCCCTCCCACAAACCACGGAAACGACAAAATAGAAACGTGAAAGGACTTGCAGCGAGGCTGACAGTGGGAAAGGAGTGGCATCGACAGACAAGGCACTTGGAGGAACTTCCTAGAAAATGTGCATCCCCTGGGACCCAAGTGATGGGACAACGACCACGAGCGAGCAGCCCGGCCCCTGGAGAAGGCCTCGCGGACGGCGCACTGGACCGACCCCCGGCTCAGCACCACGCCCAGCCTGGGACAGCGTGGGGGTGGCAGGGCGGCGGGGGGCTGGCCAGGGTGCCGACCCCGGTGGCAGGCACATTTGGGGCCCCACTGCAGCTCCAGGGGCTGCTCTGGGAGGATGGGGAGCTTCCGGCCCCACATCGCTCACTACATCACACGTCCACGCGGACAGAAGGGGAGGGAAGAGGCTCAGGCCGCCTGGCCCTCGACGGCTCCACCCCTGCGAGAGCCAGAAGGGCAGCCTGACACTCGCCGGACGAGACTCGACGGCAGGAAACCTCGACAGGCAGGCTCCCCACGCGAGACACACAGACTCTGAAAGGAGAAGCAGAAGCCAGCCAGCACTCTGCTGCTCAGAGGCGAGCCCTGAAGGGAACGCCTGCAAGGGTAAGATTAAGTGGGTGGAGAGGTGTTTGTCAGCCAAAGGAAACCAAGGGCAGAGATACTTCCAGGAGATTAATAAACTCTGGGGCAAGGAAACATTAAACAAAGAGAAATACGTTGTATTTTGTTAAGGGGGGGAGGGGCCACCAAGAGATACAGTCCATTTTTAAGCACCGAAAAACGCACGGGAATATATAAAGCGAAAAAGGGCAATAAAACGGTCTTCTTGTAAAAAGAGCGTTGCAAACTATAATCATAATAGAAAGCAGACATTTAGAGAAATCAAGGAGACGAAGAAGAGTAAAGCTACACTGATTGACACAACTCAGATGTGTGCAGATGAAACAGCACGTAGAGAAAAAACACATGTACTTCTGTATATAAATGCACTTGCCCTTTGAACAACACGAGTCTGAACATGTATCCACTTAGAGCAGGTTTTTTTCAGTAGTAAGCGCCACGGTGCCACACCATCTGTGACTGGCTGACTCCGTGGATGCAGAGCTGCAAACACAGAGGAACCGTGGATACAAAGGGTGGACTGAAAATACAAAGGGTGGATTTTCGACTGGGCAGAGTCTCAGCACCCCTCACCCATGTTGTTCCAAGGCCAACTGCGTACAATGTACACGAATGAGAAAACTTTACCTAGAGTGTTGATATATACATTCGACCTCTTTAGACAAAAAAGAAAAAACGGGGGAAAAAAGAGCATCCTTTCTCTTTAAACGCCTGGTGGCGTGGACAGGATCTGATCGTGTCTGCACAGCTCAAAGAGGAGCGCCCCTCTCATACAGCGGTGACGTCCCAGCAACGCTCCTCCCCTCACACGCCGACAAGAATGAAACAGACCAAGCCCACCTACTGCTGGTGCAAATGAAGAAAACTACGTGTGCGCATTAACAAGAGCAGTTGAGGCAGAGTTTGTGGAGGAAGTTGAGAGTAATCGTAAAGGTTTAAACGCGCGTGCCCACCACCCTCCCACATTCTACTTCTCGGAACTGGCCCCATGGAGGCACTCAGAGAAGTGCATGTACAAAGAACACGGATGATAATTATCTGATGCCAAGTCGGGGCTGTTATAAATAGCACTGCAGCCACACAAAGAATCATCTGCACGCTACCAAAAGCAAGCTGGTTTTATATACATACTGCCATCAAAAGATGCCATAATGCACTCAACGGAAAAAAACAGAACACAGAGCCCACAGGATGAGTACGCTCTATTGAAACATTTACACGCACCGTGTGTTCAGACACAGGGAAAGGCAGAGCCCTTTCTCCACAGCAGCTCACTCTGAGCGGGCGGAGACAGCAGGGCGCTGTCCGAGGTCCATGTTACGCTCTGCGACCCAGGCTGCTTCATTCTGTTTAACCTCTCCTGTCTATCAATACATGAAAGACAGATTTACAATGAAGCCTTCGTATCTAAATACAGCCCAGAACCCTGCTCTTGGGAGCTTCAGACGGTCGATCGGGCCAAGGAGAGGGGTGTGGGCCTTGGGGGGACAATCCCGAAGGGACAGACCAGACCCAGCCTCAGCCCCTCCCTGCTGAGCCGGACACCGGCCACCCTGACACATGCGGGGGCCTAAGGACACCCAGCACCTGTCCAGGTGGGCGCAGGACAGGCTGAGATCCACGTGCCCCAGAGGCCAGGCCACGGAGGTCGGGGCAGCAGGCGGGCAGCATGCAGGCCAGCCCCGTGGGAGGTGGACCAGCGAGGTGGGACAAGGCCGGGCCCCAGCTTCATTGGGGCATGCGCTGGACTCTGGGAGGGAAGTCCTGAACGTGCAACCATAACACACTCCTGGCGCTCCAACCAGACAAACGTGGCTCCCAGTCCCTCCGGGCCACTTAGCCACACTGTGACCCTAGACGCTGCCCACCAGGCCTGAGGCGTGTAGGGCCTTGTGAAGATGAACTGTGTGTAAGATGCTCAGTGTGGCGCCTAATTAAAGCCCTGGGCACCAGAAGCGAGGCCTGTGGCCTGGTGATGCCATGGCCACCACCCAGGAGGGCCGGTCGTGTGTTTCTTCTCAGACCCGGCCCCAAGGGCCCGTCACAGAGGGACCCCCACCCCACGGACCCCAGACACAAACAGCTGGAGAAGAAAGTAACTCCAAGCCACACGTGGACCTGTAAACGCCGCTCCTGCGGCCGCAGAGGAGCGTGGGGGTCGACACGCAAGCCCAGACCTAGATGGACCCCAGGCCTCCGGGAGGCCTGCACCGTGTTCTGTCACCAAGATGAAGAAGGCTCTTGGCACCTGGTGCCATCAGAAACCAGCAGCGGTCACGACCAAGAAGAGCACGCGTGTGACACCCAGGACAAGCAGCCGTCACAAGACAGCCCCTTTCCGTGGGGAGCCCGTCCACCCGGGAGCCCGGGGCCCGCTCACCTGGATGGCTTTGGGAGCTCATTGCGAGCAGAGCCTTGTCCTGCAGGTGATTCAGAATGGCTCAAAATTTCCACGTAAACAATATCTCCAAAGGGTCCCAGAGTTCCTCTGACACATGCAAGTAGGCGACAGGGAGGCTGGGCCACAGCCACGGAAACTCGAGTCCCGCCGACCACGTCGTGGGCCAAGTCATCCAAAGGAGAGCCAGTCCCCGCAGGCTCTCAGGACACGACCTGTGTGGTGGAGAGAGAGGAGGCGTGGGTTAGCAGGGAGGATCTCACGTGGACAGCCACGTCTGCCTCAGGAGGCACCTCAGTGTTTCTCCTGTGTCCATCATAGACGGTAAAACAGTTCACTTGGAATCATGTCTGCTCATACGAACTGCTTGCTGTTTCTGTTAGTAAATATATGTGGGTACGTGTGAAAACACATCTGTAGAGCCGCATCTCTAGACCTCAGCACGCTGGACGGAAAACCTTTTAAAAGGAAATTCACTTTAAGCCCTCCCCACCGCACGTTCTCTGCGTTTGCGATTTCCACAAGTCCTCCTGTTTCCTGGCGGTGGTCCCAGAGGGCAAGTCCCAACCCCGCTTCCCTCTGACACGGTGCCTCCGACAGCTCCCCGCGTTTCCACCTTCCTGAGAACCATCTCCCCAGTGTCTTTCCACTTTCGGATTATACATGTGACACGTACTCATCACGGGAAAGTGTCTAAGAAGTCGCCCAGGACACCACCACACGGACGGAGGCAAGCACGGGGTGATGCTCCGATGCGTTCCTGGCCGCTGCTTTGCTCTGCCCTGTGCCCGTCCCCGACCACCAGCCCTGCGGTCGTGTGTCCTACTCTCTTTCTGCCGACATGACAGTCGGGAATTGTCCAACGTCGCTAACAACTCCTGGTGACGGCGTTCTGAAGGCTGCTTCCCCCTCCACCTGGGACGGAGACTGTTGGCCTCCCCACTGTGAGGGCTGCTCCTGCCCCTGCAGGTGGCTCTGATGAGACCTGCCAGTCACAGGGCCGCGTCCCCAGACCGAAAGGCAGCACGGGACGTAAGCCAAGCTCATCGAGCCCTCTTCTCCAGACCACACTCGTGCACAGGTCAGTCACCTGACCGAGGAGCCCAAAGAAACAAGTCCGAGAACTCGGACCACCGGCCACTGGCCTCTGTGTGACACCATCACGGGTGACTTTTAATACTTTGCTGTGATGAGCACGCACTACTTCACAATCAGAATACACAAATAAACTGAGAAAATGGTATTACGAAAATCCTCCTGCCGACGCTGGCTCAGGGTGCTTCTGAGGCCTCTCTGACATCCCCTCCTTGAAGAGTGTGACAACTTCCTGGTCTTGATTCAATTATTCAAGGATTTTTTTTTCACATTGCTTATAACCAAAGAGCCCTAACCTATTCAGCATGCAAACGATTAAGCCCCAGAACTGTCTACTTCGGTGGTTTCCAGTTACATACTCTCTGTAACTCTGTGACTAACACCATTACGACTACTGTTCTGTATCTGGTCATCTCCTCGGGAACAACAGTGACTTACGTATCTCCGATTCAGAATTTTTATTCGTCTCTGGACCAGGAAGAAACTGTCTTGAAAGCCATGCATACGGTGTATTTTGCAAACCCTTGTAAGTCTCAGGTGGCTCCATGGTCTCCACACAGAGATCACAGCGCGGCTGGGTATAAAAGCCTCAGATCACAAATGCTTCCCCCGAAAACCTCCGAGCCCGCCCGCCGTCAGAGGCAGAGGGCGCCGGGCTGGCACAGGCCCGTCCTGTCCGGGCGCCGCAGCCTCGCGGGTGGCGTTCTGACACTGTCACTGTGTCATCATTCTCTTCTGACTGGACTCAGTCAGGACTTTTTCTCACTGATCTTGAAATTCAAAAACGTTGCCAGAAGACGTCTAGTAACAGTCTCTTCATTCACTTTGCTCCACACGTGAACCTTTCAGTACCTACAGGTCTCCTCTCCTGCTCAGGAAAACGCTCCTGAATTACGACCTGACGGCTGCTTCCGCTGAGTTTGCTCTGGCATCGTCAGAGGTGCCTGGCCGCCCGGCTGGGGCCTCTCCGGCACGCCTGGCCTCTCCCCAGCTGGGGTGCGCTGGTTTATCCCGCCCCCCAGGCCCCTTCTCAAATACCCTCTCCTCGTCGCCACTGTTTCCCACAGCGTGAGTTTTACTCCTTACGGCTTTCCATGCAGATTTTGACTAAGCCTTCAGCTTATTGCTCTCAACCGCTTCCCTTCACAACTCATCCCACTGTCGTTCCCTCCCAGCTGACCCCGCTTTGTGACCTTCTGCTCCTCCGTGGAGACGCATGTCTTCCCAGCCAAAGTCCTGAAATTTCTTTTTTCTGATTCTGACTATAAATCATTTTCCGAGGCACAGCTACCCTCTGCGTGCCAGGGTGGCTCCCTCTTCCCCACGTTCTGGGATGCTTACTTGAGGCCCCGTGGTGGGGATCATCTCTGTTATTTTATCCTCAGATAAGAACAGCTGTAGTCCAGGCCTGCCTTCCACCCAAAGACTGTGTTGCGTGCCTATCTCTTCCCACTGTCACAGTGGCTAAAACGCATCTCGGAGACACCCACCTGGCAGCCACACGCACAGCCCGGGCCAACGCCCGGCATCCAGCAGGCGCTCGCCGAGTCCGGGCTGCCGCGCTGACAGGGCGCTCTTCCCGCCCACAGGCCAAACAGAACACAGAGCGTCTGCCGTAACACAACATAAACGTTGGGAGGAGCCCCACATGCCCACACCTGCGTATCAGAACTACCCGGGGTTATAAAGACAAGGGAGTTTGAAGCAGACCATTCAAAGCGGCCGTTTGGTAGCCAGGTAACACAAAAACCAACAATAACTCTGCTTTGAAAATCACCATTGTTTAAAGAGCCGGGTAAGACTCCTAACAAACAAAAAGTCCAGTCAACGTAGACTTTTACCTTTGTTAAGAGATGGTAGCAGTTTAACAAGAGAGGTTAAGAGGACGAACTGAAGCTCCTGAGTTCGGGACAAAACACGGAAAGACAGGAAAACGTGCAGCAAACACTCTGAGGGTGGGCACGCGGCCACCAGGGAGGGGCGCAGGCAGAACGACCGTGCGCCCAAGCAGCAGACGCTGCCCCGGGGAGCGCCACGTGCGGGGTGTGAGCGCCCCTAACGCTCCGACCCCGTTTCTTGAAGGTTGAGACCACGAACGAGGGAAACCGAGCTTGGACCCAGCTCGGCGTCTGCATCGGCTGCATCCCCCCGCCACGCCCCATGAGGACGTGAGCTACTGCACGTCACAGACACATGCTCGGTCACAGGGCAGGATGTCCACGGAAGAAACAACACAGCCCCGGGGAGTCCATTTCCCACGGCTGCCGTAACAAGGCGCCATAGGCTGAGCGGCGTAAAACCGCAGTTCTGGAGGCACGTTAAGTTTCAGAAGTCGGAGCCCTGGGTGTCGGCAAGGCTGTGGGGGAATCCTCCCCAGCCTCTTCCAGCTTCTGGTGGCTGCTGGCAGTCTCTGGCTTCCTGGCCTTGCAGCTGCACGGCTCCAGACCCTGCTTCGCCACCACACGGCTCCTCCCTGCATGTCTGCCTTCAACGGCCGTCTTCTTCCAAGGACACGGTCCTGCTGGATTAGGGCTCAGCCAACTTCAGAACAACTTCATCGCAACTAATTACATCTGCAACTCCCCTATTTCCAAACACGGCCACATTCTGAAGTCCTGGGGGTTAGGACTTTAATACAGCTTTAGGGGGGAGACACAATTCAACCCCTAACACCCAGTACACACTGCACCCCGGGCCCACCCTGGCTGCTCCGGTACCAGCCTCGCCAATGCTACGTGACCCCCAATGGTTCCAGAGAGTAGCACGCCCCCGCCGTTGCACAATCCTCTCCATCATAACCAGACCACACTCTACACAGAAGAGCTCCTCCTGGGGCTCTCGATACCACACAGGGCAGAGAGGCATGGAGCCTGGAAAAGAGCTGTCAGCAAAGGGGCAGACGCCCGGGTCTGGCTGGTTACAAGGCTGAGTCTATAAATCACAGGGGAGACAGCGGGGAGGGGGGTTTCCCTCCCTGCTTTCAGGGAATCCTCCAACTGCATCACTTAGCCCGTTCCTCTGACTTCGGCCACCCTGGGTCTATCAGCAGGCTCTCACCCTAGGCCTCTGGTAGACAACAATCTATGCAAAGGCGGCTTTAAGACACCGGACAACAGGCACGGTGACCCTTGAGAGGAAACAAACATGATGGCCCGCCCAGGCGTCCCAGGTGCCTGCTCGGGGAAAGCTTCCAGGTAGCAGTGCAGGGAGGACACAGGAAACATCGGAAGAAACCATGGCTTAAAATTTCCCAGGTTCAATGAAAACTATAAACCCACAGAAGCTCAACAAACTCCTACCACAAACACACGAAGACGGTTACACCGAAGCACAACACAATCAAACGGCTCGAAACCTAAAAGCAGCTGGGAAGAAAAAGTCACATCACAGACAAAAACAGAAGTCAGAGTGACAGCAGACTGCTCAGTGGAAAGAATGCAAGCCAGAAGGCAGTGGAAGGGACACACACACACACACACACACACCCACCACCCACCCCCCCTACTCCCAGCCTAGAGTGCTGCACCCCGTGAAAACATCCTTCAGAATCAAAGGTGAAATAGAGATGTTTTCAGATATTCAAAAGCTGAGAATATTCCATCACCAGCAGACCTGCACCTAAAAAGTGTCAAAGGAGCGCTTCAGGCAGAAGGAACACGGCGCCCGACGGAGACGCAGGTGCACGCAGAGGCGAGGAGAGCCTCAGAAGCAGCAGCCATCCAGGTGAATGTGAGAGTCTTCTCTTATGCAGACTCTCTTTTAAAGAGAACGGTTTAAAGCAAAAGTGGTCATGTATTGAGACGTTTATATCACACGTGCTAAGAAAACTTGTCAAAAATAACACAAAGACCAGGAGGGGAGCAGCGCGGGTGCACTGCCGTATGCCCCGGAAGTGCACGTGGAGCAGCTCTAACCCTGACGGCAAGACTGTGGGAAGCTGAGGACATTTGCTATAAATCCTAAAGCCCACACTTACAAAAGAAACAATTATAATTAACAATCAGTAAGGAAAATACAGTCATAAAACTACTCAATCCAAATGAAGGCAGAAAAAGAGGAAAAAGGTGACGAACAGAAAACAAAAAGCAAGATGGTAGCTTTAAAGCAAACCATAGCAATGACCAGATCAAACGGCCTAA